ATTGCTTTAATATTCGGTAGTGCAACATTTGCCAAACTTTAAAAAGAAATTCCTCATAATTAAGTTGCAATTTTGTCAATTACAACCATTAGAACAAAGATGAAGGTATCTATAGGTAATCCTATTTTGATTGAATAATACTTTTTCTAAATTCATATGGTTTTTGCAGACGGTCTTTAGATACACGAAGAATATGAAGAAAGTAAACTGAAATATCAAACCAAAATTTTGCAAAAAAAGAATTATGGCAAGTTTTATTACTATACCTGATTTACCGGTGCTATTGTTTCTTATTATACAGTAGGGAAATCTTTGATTTAAGTTCTGGCCTCTAAACTCGGGCAGCTGCATCGTTTCGCTAATCCTATACAGCGCAGCCATTGGTAAAGAAGATCAAACCTGTACCAAGATTAAGTCAGTTTCTATCATTTGGACATCGATAGAAATATATGATAAGATTCCACAATCAGTTAGGTTGCCTACCTATAATAAACAATATAGGTCTGTTGCAAGTAACCAATTATAATAGGACTAACATAAGAATATCTTCAAGTTTCAACCTTCTTTCGCAAATTAATAAATATATCTACAAGTGATTCCTGGAACACGAGTACTAAAAACTATAATCCAACCATAAACGAATAATCTGTGAGGCTTCTAAATCGAAAATTGGATGGAATTAATTACATTTTTTTTACGTTGAAATGTCATTTTCGTCGATTTTGACCATCCTATGCGTAGGATGTGCGAATTTACAATCCTTAAATTGGCTGACATGCAAATCACGAAAATGCATAAGAGGCGTATACTATGCAAATTTTTTTGAAATTTTATTTGATGTTGAATTGTCAGTGACTTCATTATTTCCTTTTTGTTTTTAACGATTGATTGTTAAATAAAAATGCCTAATTATTCTAACGTTGAAATGACCAATATGGTTTTGATCTATTATTATCTTTACGGGTTTTGGATGATTACAGAATGATTTTTTTTTTCGTTTTTTAGTACCTGTCAAATTGTTGTAACAGTTGGTAAGATTAACAAAGAATTTTGCTTTTTCAAACACTGATTTTTGTGTTTTCTTTTTCACTGTCGATATTCAAAAAGACAGAAAGAATACAGTTTGGGTTTGTATTTAATTTTTGGGTTTTGATATTTATTTATAATACATAATTGAAATAAAACTAATTAAAAATTTCGTAACCTCAACTATCTTGTTACTGAAAATGTTACTAAAAATCAGCTGTACTTCAAATGTTGGTTTTTTTGGCAAAGATTCGCCCAATTTTTGTATTCGAATGCAGAAATTGTTATTTGTTTAAGAAGATTATCCAAATATCAATATCCCAGCTATAGGGGTATAAACAATTAATCTAATTGAGCTTAAAGAATATGATCAATATATACAGGGTGTATCAGGTATGAGTAGAAAAAATTTGAGGGGTTATTAAAACATTCTTATAACACAGTGTCCCATTCTTTGTCCTTCTTAAGATATGATACCATAAAGTTAAGGATTCACAAGTTTGATTACTACTTATTGAATTATACTAAGCAGACTTTGCTTTGCAATTTGTAATTTGTTTCTAATTTTGCTGTTTTTAATATAATAAGCAAGTTTATTTATTAAAACTAAAATTTGTGTACATTTTCACATTAAAGAGTGATGAAACAGAATTGATAAATTTATTCGTATAAAATAAACAACCTCTAAAAAAATATCTCAAAAATGGCTTTTATGTGTCAAATTAAAGCTATGTACAGTTCTGTTCAGATATAATGCGAAAAGAGCCGCTCGTAGAGGCATAAAATTGTACTAGAAACGACCTACGTTCACGAGGCACTCAATTCAGGTTTTACCTGCACTGTAGTGTTGTAAAAGTTCCGAACAGGCAAGCGGAGTGATGTGATTTATGACCAAGATGACTGAATCACTAAGAAAAATTAAGAAAATAAATAAGTATAAGCAATCCATTTACTTTACACAATTCCTGTAGTAAATGAAAATAATTACTAATAATTACTGTATTACTTTGGTAATACAGTGGAACGATAAGTCGAACCTCATAAGAAATGAAAATTATATATTGACAGTAAGTTATATAGGTGTCCGGTATCTTCCGCATCAGAGCATTATACGGTTGTAGGATACATTATTCTGAAGCTATTCTAATAAAATAAAATTAACACATTTAAAAAAAGGGTGATCCATTCTTCGGCCCACTTCAAACTGGGACGGTTTTACCTGGCTTAAGGAAGAGGGTAACTTCCTTTAGTCTCAGAAATCGAATTGAATAGAAACAAAAAATGTCTCCGTCTTCTTCCAGTATCAGCGTCATGTCGGAGCTAACAGCGGACGATTCGCATTAAATCTGAACAGAGCTGTACATACGCAAAGCCTGCTTAGTATAATTCATTATACAGCAGTACTTAAACTTTCAAACTCTTAACTTTATCGTATCATATCTTAAGAATGGTAAAGAATGGTACCTCTTGTTATAAGAATTTTTTATTGACAAAAAGGGACCCTATAACCCATCAAATTTTTTCTACTCATACCTGATACACCCTGTATATATTGATCATATTCTTTAAACTCTTCATATGATCTCTCAAATTTCAGATTCTCACTTCTTGATTATTTATAAACCCATATTTGTCTATTCGAATTCTTTTTGTAAAATAATAATAATAATGATAATTGACAACATTTTCTTTGATGATGACCGTGTGCCGAAACTAGTAAAACAGAAAATAACAATTATAGACCCATTCAAGTACATATTCGTGATACAGCCAAAAAGATAAATAATTGTAATCACATTCATTGAATTAATACAGTATTACAGTGAAAAGTCAATAGCAAATACAAAAATAAATATGTATATATAGGTATTATAAGTATAATAATAAAACTAATTAACTTTGTTACTCCACAAACTGATCTTGCATATAATCAGACCATACATAGTAGGCTTTCTTGACCAAATTAGACTTCACACATTTTTTGAAGTGTCCTCGTTCCCTAGTTTTCATTTTTTCTGGCAACTTGTTAAAAAATGTAACTCCCCAGAAATCAGCATGTCATTTAGTTGCTTCTATGNGGTCACTTTGCTTATAAGGATTTTTTTCCCAAACCTCTTGGCCTTACCGTTCTAGAGATACAGCCGCTCCGTACGCTTAACGGGACACCCTGTATATTGATCATATTCTTTAAGCTCTTCATATGATCTCTCAAATTTTCCATTCTCACTTCTTGATTATCTATAAACCCATATTCGTCTATTCGAATTCTTTTTGTTTTGTATAAAGTGAGGTGTAAAGTGCAAATAATGATAATTGACAACATTTTCTTTGATGATGACCGAGTGCCGAAACTAGTAAAACAGAAAATAAGAATTAAAAACCCGTTCAAGTACATATTCGTGATACAGCCAAAAAGATAAATAATTATTGTAACCACATTCATTGTATTAATCTAATTCAAGTCCAATTACAAAGTCATCATTACAAAGCCAGAATAATAATAATAATGTTTATTCACGTAAGTAATACAGTATTACAGTGAAAAGTCAATAGCAAATACAAAAATAAATGTGTATTATAATTATAATAATAAAACTAATTAACTTTGTTACTCCACAAACTGATCCTGCATATAATCAGACCATACATAGTAGGCTTTCTTGACCAAATTAGACTTCACACATTTTTTGAAGTGTCCTCGTTCCCTAGTTTTCATTTTTTCTGGCAACTTGTTAAAAAATGTAACTCCCCAGAAATCAGCATGTCATTTAGTTGCTTCTATGCTATGTAACGGTAATCTCAGTTGATCTTTGCCTCTTGTGTCGTGTGTGTCAAAGTTTGCATTAGCATTAAATTTACTTCTATTGTCATAAACATACATCAAGGTAGCCAAAATGTATGCACTTGGTACGGTAAGTATCCATTCTGTTTTAAATACATCTTTGCAGCTGTCAGTAGTTTTAAGATTGCATAAAGCTCTCACCGCCTTCTTCTGCAAACCAAAAATTCTTCCTAACCCAGGTGAATGACCCCAAACGCATATGTTGCAACAGCATGAAAATTTGCAAAATAGGCCACTTCATGAGATGCAATTTTGCTGAGACATCTAATTGTAAAAATTGCTGACGTTAATTTTTTACTTATGACATCAGTATGTGGATTCCATGTTAGATAATGCCAAGAACTTCACCGCGGGTAAGTTTGAGGGTAATTTCATATCAATGATAATTTATTCTGTTTTATTTTAATTTAGCGGAGGACTTTAAAGGTAGTAATTGCTGATCAGAATCTTTTATTAATACGGAAGTATCGTCTGCGTAAATACACATATCCTCACGGACAATCATTTTAGCATTTACGTATTTTGTATCCTAAAAATTAAATGAAAATTTTAAAATTTTTTGTATTTTTATTATTAACTTAGTCATGCGACATTAATAACTTCTAACAAATAATCAGATCTTATCTCATAATACAATTACTTATAATTATTTATATTTATTACCATAAATTAATTATCTTGACACTTCGGTCTAAATTCGCATACCAATATTCGATCATAATTGAATAATTATATATCTGTTTATTGAATTGAGGTTGGAGGTTGATGCACGGGAGCTTTGATCTACATATTGCACAGGTGTATTATGCATATTATAATTAGGTCTAATTGCTTATCAGTGATATATCGCTACTAATTACCCCCCATTGATTGCCGTTATCTTATCACGTTTTATACACCAATTTTTTTTCCATTAACAATATAGAAAAAAAAGTTCCACACGTAAATATCTGCCGTAAACAATGACTTGTTGAATGAGAAAAAATGATTTACGTCTTGATGTGTTTTAAGTACTCTAAAGATAAAAAAGAATGACGTAAAAATAAAATAATGATGATTATGTAGAATCATTTAAAAACGTTTTAAATCCATAAAATCTTTATTCCATTTATGACGTACAATAGTTATAAATTTGAAACATAAAATATCTAAAATTAATAAATAAATTAATATTTTAGTTAATCACCTCTCCATAAATACGTAAATAAGAAAAATAAATAAAACGAATTTATAAAGAACACGTTTTTATCTAAAACCTAACCCTACATCTTTTTGTTTATATTTATTGCTAATGTTTACATTTGGCACATTATTTGACTAGTGTGAATTCAATCTCTGAGAACGTAATATCAGTCGCGTATCACTAAAGTTAGACTAGATTCTAAATTAAAACACTTCGGTTCGTTCTTTTTCTCATAAATTACAATTTCCCGACTCATTTCCTTCAGAATTTCTCGCATTTTCCGCTTGTAATTGTTGCTGCTGCTGAAGAAACTTAGCAGCGGCTGGAAATCCTTGCAAATCGAATCCTGGAGGTGCTACGATTGTTGAACTTGCTGTGGTTCCTTGTAAATAAGCTATTAATCGTTTCATTTCTTCCAAGGCGTTCGCTTGCATCAAAATATAATTTTTAGCCAAAAGTAAAGTGGCTATTTTGGACAGTTTCCGGACGGATGGTGAATGGGCGTATGGTATGACAGCCCTAAGGTCATCCAATGCATCATTTAAATCATGCATTCGTCTTCGTTCTCGCGCATTTATATTTAATCGAACCGATTTTCCTTGTCGATTTTTTCCTTTTCCTTGTGGGTTATTTTGCATTGCTCGATTTTGTGGTGATCTACTTTGAGGTCGCGTTGGATCTGGGTTATTTTCATCTGATGGTGGGCCATGATTAATGTGAGGACCTTGAAATTGAAATCCTCCTAATCCCACTGCTCCTAACGGTGTTCTTCGTCCTGGTATTTGACCTTCCTCTGTTGAATGATGCCCACCGAATTGTGGGAAATTAGGAGCTTCGATTGGTGCTGATATTGATGAACTCGGACCACCACCACCACCACCACCGGAAGAATTCTGAGTTTAAAAAAGAAGAGGATTTTTTTGAGTTTTAAAGAGTTCAAGAATTAAGTTGACCTAGATTCAAAATTTTACTTACCGGGTGCTGCCAGCCCCAGGCGGAGGGTGTTCCACCCCTTAGCCATTGAGGCGGTTCCACCACCGCCCGAGAGATGGGGTATACTGTGGTGGTTTCGTCCCCAGACGAAGATTCGCACTCAAACGACTTGATCATTTATTATTGACGGTGTTTACTCATGAATTTATAAAAACCAAACACGGGCCGTTTCTATCTCATTCCGTTTTTCGACAGGAAATGGTCAAAACTTCTTTGAATCAAACAAACCCTTAAAAATAATCCTAATTTAAGAACAAAATTAGAAATAAGTCTACAACAAATATCTAATCGAAAAATATAATTTATTGATTAATTCATTATTCAAAAAATAATTACTTACGATTTTTTATGATAATTAAATTATTGTAGTTAGGGGGACGTTTTCTCCGAGACGGGTGGTTTTTTGTTAACTACACGTATATTAATGCAACAAATTTCACATAATTTCTTTATAAACTGATTTTTTTATGGAGTTCTAATAGAAATCATTGAAACACAGCCACTGAGACACTGTTAACTGGCTTAGAATCGAGGCAAACGTAGTGACAGATGCACCCTCCAAACGCAGATTTTAACAAGAGGGTTGGAACGCTCCAGTGGCGTAACGTCTATTGTTCCCTCTCACCCCTGTTCCTCCAAAAATATTTTATTCTCGATTTGATTTTATGTGAAGTAAATTGTATCAATATTTTTTTATTTTTAAACTAAGCAAAGTGTAGTATGAATTGAACTTTCGATGTTAATTGGAAAATTTTTCATGCTTTTTCTCGGTTTTTAAATATAATTAGGTATTACTTAATCTATGTTTTATTTATTATTCATAAAGTTATGCGGAAGTAATGTTACGATAAATTAAAACTTTTTGGAGATAGCATTTAAGAAAACTTTTTCATGTTAAGTATTCGAGATTAAGCAATGAACTCAATTTGTGTCATTTGATAAATTTAGAAAAACGATTTTATGGACTGTCAACTACAGAGGTACGAAAAATAGAATTTCAAGTAGCGATTTCGAAGCTGCTGAGGCAATTCGTGTCATAATATCCCTATAAGATCAGAAATTCGTCAAGATGGGTGTAGCCCTAGACCTGATAACAATTCGGATTATGGATCAACCTTAGGTTTCTTAAAGAAACAAAATATAGACCCTCTTCTAACACTAGACATACAACGTTCTACAACTTCTGGTGACCCAGATTCTGAAATATTACAGAAGAGAAACGAATCTCCAATACATAAATCATCAATAAATCACAAGGACCAGAAAACATCTATTCCTCAAGCAATTTCAAAATAATGTGAAACACAAAAATATGCAAAAGAAGAAACGACGGGTAGAAGGGTCCAAAATAATTACTAGTTCGTGTAATAAAAATCAAATTGAAGAAAAAAATAAAATGGTCTATAAGATCAGAAATTCGTCAAGATGGGTGTAGCCCTAGACCTGATAACAATTCGGATTATGGATCAACCTTAGGTTTCTTAAAGAAACAAAATATAGACCCTCTTCTAACACTAGACATACAACGTTCTACAACTTCTGGTGACCCAGATTCTGAAATATTACAGAAGAGAAACGAATCTCCAATACATAAATCATCAATAAATCACAAGGACCAGAAAACATCTATTCCTCAAGCAATTTCAAAATAATGTGAAAGACAAAAATATGCAAAAGAAGAAACGACGGGTAGAAGGGTCCAAAATAATTACTAGTTCGTGTAATAAAAATCAAATTGAAGAAAAAAATAAAATGGTCTATAAGATCAGAAATTCGTCAAGATGGGTGTAGCCCTAGACCTGATAACAATTCGGATT